AAGCCAGGTCAGCTCTGTCTCCCATGGTTAGAGCACATGGTCAGGATGTAGAAGACCCGGTTTCAGATCCCTGCCTGATGTGAAGCAGGGATTTGACCCCAGGCCTCCCGCCTCCTTGGTCTATGGCAAAGGTTCCCATAATTTTTTTGCTGCACCGACCTTTGGAGATTCATGCCCCATGCACACTCACCTCTGTACAGGGGAAAGGCCCAAAGGGGGGGACTTGGATAGTGCTGAGGTCAGAGATGCCCAGGAGGTGGGGGAGAGGGGAAAATCCCCATGTGACTAGTGAGCTCCAGGGTGCCTCCCCTGCGGAGGGGGATCAGCTGCTAGGGCCAAGGGGAGGGCCCTGTGGGGAAAGCATGGATCCCCTGGGGTCAGTTTTGGGCAAGGGCTACTTAGCCTAAGGGTAGCTTCTTAGCCCCATAGGGTGAGGGGGAGACCAGAGCCACGGAGTATGAGGGGATTCTAGTTCAGTGGGCAGCAGATCCAACCTCAGGCACCCCCCTACCTAACCACACTCACCTTGGCAGCAGCAGAACTCCCTGGTCTCCCACCACCCGGCAGAGCTACCACCTCCCTCCCCAGGCCCTGCTCCCCAGAGCAGCTCCCCCCTGGCTGGCCTGTCACCCCCCAGCAGAGACCCCCCATGCCCTGACCCCTGCTTCCCCAGCAGAGCCCTCCCCTTGCCAGTCCCCCTCCCCCACACTCACAGCGGTGCTGTGTCCAGTGTCAGAACTGGGGCCGTCCAGGATGCCCTGGAGGATGGGGTAGCAGGCCCTGCCCACAGCCCAACCCACAGAAAGATGCTGGAGTCCGGGGACCAGCCTTCTCCTACTCCCCACCCCCACCCCAAGGCACTCTCATCCCCCTGATAAACTCATCATGCTCACCCCCAGCAGAGAAATGGGTTGAAATAATCCACAATAATACATTAATAATTAACGTAATAATAATACAATAATACAGTTCGGGGACTTATAGCAGAGATGTTTAATCACGAGCAGACCTGCGTAACCTAATGATTCAGCCATGGGCATTTCACCACGTAAAGATTATTTTCCATGTCTCACTTTAGGAACTCCCCAAATTGAATTTGTCATGCCATTAACTAGGAGTGGTTTCTAAACTAAGCTGCCCTGCCCATCCCCCTCCCTCCCACACCTTTTCTCCTCCCCCACTTCATGCTGGCTCATTTTAGGAGCTGGACCCAGTCTGGGTCAGGCACTGATATGCAGCCTTCAAACCGGAAGTGCCTCCGCATTCTCTGGTATCTGCGGGAGCGTTAACAGATAAGCCACAAATGGGAACACAAAACAGATCTCTCTGCTCCACCCTTGTAGAATTGAATCAGGGAAAGAGTGAATTACTTTTTCCAGACAAGGAAAAAGCAGGTGAGCTGTTTACCCGAAGGAATAATAGCAGCAGGGAGAGGTGAATGGGAACCTTTCACACTAATTTCTAGTGTACACAATCTTTGCAAAACTTGTTCAAATGTAAAAATATTGTTTTCCTGTAGTTTAAACTCTTTCCTCCCAGGGAGGGTGAATGTATTTTTAAAAATGTCTTTCTAGTTAAAGAGGAACCTACGTTATATATTATAGATATAAAAGCCTCTTCCCAAAGTGTAGGCTGCTCCAAGACCATTAAAGCAGGACAAATACAAGGAAAGTCCTGGGGAAGGAGAGGAGACACCCATGGATCTGACAGCACACCACCAAAGGAAAACATTATCTTTCTTTTAAATTTTATATATTGAACTTACTTGTCCTTTATTTATCAGGGCAGTGGGCTTCCACCCTGCGCTAGCTAAGTCTCCAGACCATTTAACATTCTGCTGAGATTACCAATAAAGAGGCCAATTAGACTGGTTGCTTTTTGTGATGTTCACTTCAAATTGGAATGAGAGCATCAAACTCTTTTCAGATGGGCCACTGACCAGGCATCAGTTAGTAAACTTTGATCACTAATGACAGAACTGGATTTGAATCACCAACCTACAAGGGAAAGGCTCTGTGATCCAAACCTTGCCAGACTCACTCAGTTTTTTACTTAAGCAAAACTCCCAAAGATTACAATGCTCATTTTGACTGGGTGCAGTCAAATTGGTTATATCCCATAACCAATAACATAAGCTCTCTTCTACGACAAGAGACTTGAAGTAAGCATGACAAGGTGGTTGAGGTAATATCTGTTATTGGACCAACTTCTGTTGGTGAGAGAGACAAGCTTACATGGAGCTTTTCTTCAGGTAAGTGCTGTGTAAGCTCAAAAGCTTGTCTCTCTCACCACCAGATGTTGATCCAATAAAAGGTTATTCCCTCAGCCACCTGGTCTCTCTAATATCCTAGGAGCAACATGGCTACCTCAACACTGCAACAACAATTGAAGTAAGGATAGCAGCAGCCATGGTTGCTATCATTCATTCCTTGCACACCCAAAACTCCTATTGAAATCAGTGGGTTTTGCAATATGGTATTATTATTATTATTATGTGAAAAGGCAGTGCAGCATTCAAACAAATTATTAGCGTTGATGGAAAATTTTCATACAAAACATTTTTTCCATCGGAAAATGGCATTTCTCTGAGGTTGAAACTTTTCATGGGAATGTGTCAATTTCAATGACATTTTGGTTAGAAAAAAAATTGTGAGGAAGCATGTTGATAATGTCCAAACATTCTATTTTGACATCTGAAATGGAAGCTTTATTGGTTTGAAATGACGTTTTGCTTCAAAAATGATCATATATTACAATTTTTTAAGAAAATGAAACATTCTAATTTAATCAAAATGAAATGTTTTGATTGACCTGAAATAACTTTTTTAAAAAAACTTTTGGTTCACAGAAAATTTCAAAATTTGGAGCTTTTTGTTTTGATTTTGAAATGTTAGAATTTTCCACTGAACAGAATTTCTGGTTTCTGATCAGCTCTGCAAATTATCCGTAAAATGTCTTTTCAGAGGAGCACGGGATTCTGATGTAAATAAAACATTGTGAAACATTTGAATGATGCCAGGGTGAATGGACTTAATTTCAGGAGTAGCAATAAATCTGCATCATAAAGTGCACTGTTTTTGATCAGATAACATTTATATCACCCTACAAATATTTATAACAGTAATATAATTTTGTTTTACTGAATAGCAGTATAATATCTAATAAATAAAACATAAATATAGCAGGAGAAGTAAGCATACTGTCTTGTGTTACCTTGTGTTAACTGGTTGGTGGTCAAAGTCAGATCTTCTGAATTATTTTTTATTAACATGGATACTTTCTGAAGTACTTCCAGAGACAATTCTTCTTCAGGTTACACCAATGGACCCTCACTAACTTTCAAGAGCTCTGCTGAGGGGGAAACTGGACCCCAGTTTACCACAGGCAGAAAATATCAGCTGACCACAAATATCTCTTTCAGTGGAAAAAGAAATTTAACCTGGGGCAAATTTGTCTCTACTGGTGGATATTGCCACCTTTCACCATGAAGACTCACAAAGCATTGTGGGAAGCCGCCCTTGAACAAAAGTGGAAATTTCCATAAACATTTGGGCGAGTCTCTGCTTTTTATATATGAGAACTGCTAGTTTGGCGCCGCTCCAGGTGAAGATCTGAGAGATGGGCCTGAGGGAGGTTTTCCTTTTGTGTGAAATGATTGGATTAAATATATGTACTTTCCACTTAAATAATGGGCAGGCTATTTCCGCAGTCCCATTGTCAGCTATTCCCTTTTATAGGAATTTGGTCCAACAAGTATCCATTTACAAGCAAATTAAGATTTTAAAGTCAATTTATCCAAGAGTTAATTTCTCATGAAGTCAGCTCTTAAACATTTCCTTTATTAGGTGAAATGTTGCCTCTTTCTCTATCTGGCACTGAAGTTTTCCTTTTCAGCAGATCTCCTAGGTCACATGGAAAAAGTGGATTGTTTTTATCTTTGGAACTCTCAGCTTCTCTGTTAAAATAAATGGACTGACTATTATTAGATTTCAGAGTCACATCCACCAAACCTTCCCTGTGGTTTGTCTCACTGATTTAGATCTTTGTAGGTTGCAGTGGATAGGAGGGTTGTAACAAATCCAGGCCCACTGAGAACTTTGTGGTTCAAGCTCACCATAACCAATCCAAACTTTATAGTGACAGCAAGGATGGAGCTAAGACCGTCTTGGTTCGAAACCATAGGCCTCTGCCACTTGAGATAAACATGAATCTTTGCTAGCTGTCAGCAGTATGGGGATGATGTCATACATTTGAGTGGTTCTGGCCAAGACTGTGAGAAGTGACTAATTATTTTGGCTACCTCTGTTTTTGGGTGCCCACTTTTTGAGGCATCTAAAATGAGTTTAATTTTCAGAAAGTTCTGAATACCCACTTTGTGAAAGTCAGGCCACTTAGGCACCCAAAAATGTAGGCACCCGAAATCAGTAGCCATTTTTGAAAATCTTGACCTGTGATTCCATCCAGTAGGGGGCACTAGAGCACACCCACCCACGGACTAGCACATTACAATCTAATCATGCTAATTTCCATTTCTTTCGGCTTGTCCAGCTCTCCCTTTTTCTGGTAGATTATTTCCATCTTTTGAAAGATAATCATGTAATATTTCCCAAATACTGATAGCTCTTGAGGTGGGACGATGCCAACAGAAGGGTCCGTTATATACTGGGGAGAATGCGCTGGCTGTCCTGATGGGTTTTTTTTTTCAATCAGAGGTTTTGAGGTACAAGAGCGGCAGAATGGGGTCAAATCCTGATCCTTCATACAAAGGCCAAGCAAATCGGCTCTGCTTGGAGTCTGGTGCACCCAGTGGACAATAACATTTCTGCAGAATTCTTGGCTTTAGAAGCATTGCACATAGAACACTTACTTCTAGTAGCTTTCATGGAGCTCTGGCTCCATTTTTCACAAAGGCAAATTCTTTTCAGCTCTCCAGACTCCCGATTTGTTTAATTGATAGGACTGAGTTAAAGCACACTTATGTTTTTTTTCCTGTTCTCCAGGCGGGTTCTTCAGTGATGTCTGGCCAAGGAGAGAGCACCAGCCCTGAAGGCAGCACACTCAAGTATTCAGGTCAAGAAGGGCTGTACACAGGAGTCAGCCTGACCTCCACAGCTGAAGTTACAGCATCGGTGAGACAGGATTCCTGGTGTGCCCTAGCTTTAGCATGATTCAGAGAAGATGAATCTGGATACCTGCACTGGGCTGCAGCCTTTAGACGTCCACACTTGTTTTTGTTTTGTTCTGTTTTATCAGGAAGTCTGAGCAGCAGGGAGAGTGCTGGCTAGAACATTCCTCTGATGTTTTTGTGCCTTAATGATAGAGGTGTTTTTTCCAAAGAGGTTCTGCCTTAGCATCCAGCTCCTCATCTATGCAAGAAAAACAAGGGAAAGTGAATCTCTCCCAGGGTAAAATGAATACAGCCAAAAAGAGCACCCTAGAGCTTTTGTTAGGTTCCAGAAATACATCTTCAAGAAATCCAGCAACGCTGCCTTTTTGATTGTATGTTTGTTTTCACTCTCTCACTTCTCCAAAGAATTTGATTGGTGTAGTCATCTTTTGGGAGGGAGATAAGGGAAGCCTTTGATGATAAGGGATAGTGAGATAAATTTAAGAAACCGCTAATGTGCGTATTGCTTATGCCAATGCACACATCTTGAACTAAACCTTTGATGCCCTCTCACAGGTCAGTTCTCCTGTTAGCACTGTCCGTATCCAGTATGCCTCCATTACTCTGTCATTTTCCTGCATCAGAGTTCAAGTACACCCATGGAGGAAATCACAATGTTTGGTACAAGTCTCTCAAGGTCGAGTCCGTTAATGAGATCTTTTGTTTTAAAATATTTACTCACTTTGCAAGACTGCATTATAACTTTTAATGTACACTGTGACTGAGGTTTATGAAAGTTAATATTTTGTGACTGAACTCTATATAGTCAGTCAGAATTTGTAAACAGGGTAGCAATCAGATATTTTTCTTCCATATATAAAATAATTTTTTTAAAAAAAAGAAGTGCAATTTGCGTTGCAGCAATCAGTGTTAAATCATTTGCATAAGATTTAACAACAGTTTTTATATGAATGAATGAATGTAAACATTTTAACTTAATGGTACGTAAATAATTTAAAAGAAAAAAGTTAACTAGGCATCCTTATGCTTTTTTTTTTATTGCAGCAAAAACATCCCACTTTCTGTATTTCCAGTTGTTAAAACACAGTTTTCAAGAACAAACCTTCTCTCAGGAAAAACACCCTTATCCATTTACTCATAAGTTTTGTGCAGAAAAGCAAACGCATCCCCAGTGTTTTGCCATTGAATAAGTATGTGCTGGAAAGATACAAATTGCAATGAAACGTTACTACCTAACTGATACATATGTAAATACTCCATAAGATATTGAGGCATCTTTAAGATTTAGGATGCAATCTGTATAGTGTGACTGACCCATAGTTAGGTTGGTTTACATTGTTTTTTAAATGGGATGTCATTTGGAAAGTTGTTCTTTCATCAGAGCTTTACAAATAAAAGGGTATTGTTTTTTTCTGTACAATGAGACTTCTCCTTTGTTTCACTCTGGTATATTACAAAATATTTAGCAGTATTAAAAGCTATAGAAATGTGTATGATGCAGCTGCAGTGTTTGAAGAACTCAGTGATGTCTTCTTATTTAGCTGTCTAATCTAGCTGTCTAATCATTCTGTCTATGTATCTTATGTATAGAATATATAAAATTTCTATAGCTCCTATCACCGTAATACCCAGTAGCATGTAAAAACAGGGCAATATACCTGATGAAAAATCAATAAGATTGAACCCCTACCCACTCCTCAAGTTTTTAATATTACTCTCTTGCTCATATCACATCTCAAGATAGTGATGACATTGTTTCCATAAGTGGCCTGATTCTCCCTTGCACACCTAATATCCTTTTGACGTCACCTGGAGTTTCAAGGGTATGAAGACTACAGGATTGGGCCCAAACATTGCTGATGAAAACAGGAAATAATATTTCATATGACTTCCAGTACTATTAGCAGTAGTGTGGGACGGGGAAGCAGGAGCTCCTGAATGGTAATCGTAGCTCCGCTATCAATATGCTGTACAATCTTGGATGAGTCTCGGCCGTGGGCCCAGCCTTTCATTTGGTGTGACGTGGCATAACTCCACTGATGTCAATGAAGCTACGCCAGTTGGCACCAGCTGAAACTCTGCGCCTCTATTTTTCCGAGCCACATAAAACGGGGTTAATAAAGTTTCTCTTCCTAGCTCTCAGGGATGCTGTGAGGATTGATGAGTGAATTAGTTAATGTTGGTACAATGGTTTGACAGTGAAAGCACTGTACAAGTTCTAAGTAAGCAGAAAGGGCTGTCTCATAGGAGTCAGGGTTGAGAAAGCAAAGGAAATTGCGTATGGAGAAGAGGTTTTCAATGTGAAATCTTTATTAGTTGAAATGCTGTCGCAACATCATAAATCGGCTACAGCACAGGGGAGAATGTCTCCCTTTATTCCTTAGTGGAAAAAGCATCATTTATGAAACACTTTGATTCCCTGGAGCAATGGTTGCATGAACTCATCCCTTTCTCCTGCTGAGATAGGTAGATAGAACAGTAGTTTACTCTGTGTGTGTGTCTTCAGGGTGAGACAATATAAACCAGGTTTTGTGTTAACACAATAGTATGGTTTTATTCAGAAAAGTGACTCTGTAAAATGGCAGCTTCTTACACCCTAGAGACACTCCCTGTGTGTATGCCTTGGCAGCCCTGCTGTCTTGTGACAAAATAAAAGTTTACTGCTTTTTGCCTCTGTTGGTACTGCAGAGTCAGCACAACTATGGGAATGAGAGCTGGGTTTTATTCTGGCTCACACATCAACAGAATGGATAACAAACTGGTCCAAATTCTTCCCTCCGTTGCGCCTGCACCTCTCCGTAGGTAGGGGGTGGCACTGGTGTAACTAAGGGAAGAAGATGGCTAGTAGAACAAGCTCTTATGTACCTGAAAACTGTTATCATGTCCCCTCTCAATCTTCTTTTCTCCAGACTAAACAAACCCAATTTTTTCACTCTTTCCTCGGAGGTCATATTCTCTAAACCTTTAATCATTTTTGTTGCTCTTCTCTGGACTTTCTCCAATTTGTCCACATCTTTCCTGAAATGTGGCTCCCAGAACTGGACACAATACTCCAGTTGAGGCCTAATCAGCATGGAGTAGAGCAGAAGAATTACTTCTCGTGTCTTACTCACAACACTCCTGCTAATACATCCTAGAATGATGTTTGCAACAATGTTACACTGCTGACTCATATTCAGCCTGTGATCCACTATGCTCCTCACAGATTCCTCTCCAGAGGACTCCTTCCTAGGCAGTCATTTCCCATTTTGTATGTGTGCAACTGATTGTTCCTTCCTAATTAGAGTACTTTGCATTTGTCCTTATTGAATTTCATCCTATTTACTTCAGACCATTTCTCCAGTTTGTCCCGATCATTTTGAATTTTAATCCTGTCCTCCCACTTATATATTTATAAAGAGCTTTGGAATCAGTGAAGGTTAAAGGTACAATATAAATGTAAATTATCATAGTATGGCTGATTGATCTTCCTTAAAGACACATAGTGACAACTGAAAAGCTCTAAGTGTATAGTAATATGGAGAGTGGGGGACTGTATCCCGGAAAGCAGTAACTCTGAAAAGGGTCTAGGAGTCACAGTGGACAAGCAACTGAGCATGAACTGCGAGTATGATGCTGTTGCAAAAAGGGCTAATGCAATCTTTGGCTGTATAAACACAGTAAGAAGGTGGGTTTACCTCTGTATACAACATGGATGAGACAGATACTGGAATCCAGTTCTGATGTTCAGGTATGAAAAAGGCAGCTGAAAAATTGGGGAGGGTATAGAGTTACAAACATTATTTGAGGGCTGGAAAATGCATTCTAGTGAGAGAGAGCTCAATCTCTTTATCTTAGCAAAAAGAAAACTGAGCCGTGAACTTGGTTATAGTGTGGAGAAAATACTGGGTACTAAAGGGCTGCTTAATCTAGTGGAGAAAGGATTAATAAGAACAACTGGCTGGAAGCTGAAGCCAGACCAATGGAAATTTGAAATAAGGCACAAATTAATGAGGACACTTAATCATTGGAACAAACTACAAAGGGGAGGCATGGATTCGTCCTTTTTTGATGTCTTCAAATCAAAACTGGATGCCTTTCTGGAAGATCTGCTTTAGCCAGACAAAATCATGCTTCAGTCAAACATAAGTTATTATGCTCAATCCATGGGTAACTGGGTGAAATTTAATGGCTGTGATATACAGGAAGTCAGACTAGAGCTAATGGTACCTTGTGGCCTTAAACTCTATGAATCTCACAGATGGGACCTAAAACTGAGGTCCTGAATTCTGGTGATTATTAAAAGTACTGGTTGGCCTAGTGTCCTGGCCAAACTTCAGCTCAACTTCAGTGTTTGCCTACCTAAAATGTCCTGCTCCCTCTCCAAAATGGGCGCGAACTGTTGCTGTGTTAAACGGTTCCTGTGTTGCATGTATTTCAGTGGTGGGTGAACAATACATCACATCCCTCACCTGCTCCAGGGCAGTGCTGTGAGGCTTAATTAATGCCTGTTAGGCCTGTGGATGTTACTGGATGGAAGGTGCCATATAAGAGCAATCGGTGAAGAATGACCAGAGGGATATGGAGCAACTGGGAGCTCTGGGTGATTCTGAAAACAGAAATCTTCAGAATGGGTAGGCTGCACTAAGGTGTCAAAATCCAGAGGCAGGGCCACATCCCGCTTGCTTTGTTCACAGGCGTAATCTTATTATAGTCAATGCCGCACGAAAAGCAAGCAAAATTTGTCCATTGCTTTCCTGTTTACTTAAGATCCAATCCTGCAGCATGGTCATCAACAGGAGAGGGTGCCCTATGCTCTGGTCCATAAGCAGTACAAAATGGCCTTACACCAGCCAGAGATAACCAGGAGAGAATCCCCACTGTGTAGGAGACCTCTCCATTGGCAGAAACCTGGCAGAGGATGCTCTGCCACACCAGTGCCCTGCACTAGCCCTGGCATTAGGGTAGGGAAGGGGTGTGCTGGGAGTGTTCCAGAGACATGGTGGGGGCAGGGAAGGAAGGGGCTTGGCAGCTCAGAGCTCTGCTACACCTCATCCTGGCCTGACCATATGCCAGTGGTGTAAATTGAAGCTGCTCCTGTGTAGCTTCCTCTTGACCTGGGGCTGGGTGGCTGAGGATCAGGGAGCTGAAAGTGGCTCTCTGTGTCCACTGGCTCCACAGGGTCAGGATGTAGAATCTGCCACAGAGAGATAGTTTTCATTAGACTTTCTGCTTTCCCTCTTCTCTGCTCCTTTTTCACAGTGTCTGTATTTGTTCCATTTTACTTAAAGGGGAGCATGATTAATCCCTTAAATAAAGGTTTCTGAATCTGAATCTTTGCCCTCCACCAGACCTTGTTTAGGGTTCAAACCAGGCTCCACCATCTCTGTCTGCTCTTGGCCACTTTTTGCGTGTTCTTTGTGTTGTTAAGTCTCTCTCTGACTAGTGTTTGATGGAGGGACTTTTTGGTCAGCCTCTTTTGCGTGTACCTTCAGCTGCCCAATGGCATGCCTGCTCTGGCTTCATTCTTAACACACATCCCAGATGTTTCCAGCTTCTTTTCTTTAAAAGGTTAGAGATAAGAAGTTGTTGAACTCTCTGGCGAATCTTGGCATTTGTTATACATTCATTCAGTTTAATACCTAGTGTTGTTCTGAGGCATTTGGTTTCAAAGGCATTTAGGCATATGTCTGTACCATTGGTAGATTTCCATTTTCACACAAATATGTTAAGATAGAGATAACATTTGAGTTGAAACTTCATAGTCTGGTCTTTAAGGTGTAGATTTTCAATGACCAAAAATCTTGGTTAAGCTGGTAAATGCAGCTGCCACCTTGCCAATTTGTGACTTTATATAAAATAAGGGTGTATGTACAGTAAATAGTAGAATTATAAAGCAAGGGTCTATTTCTGTAATCCTTTACACGTGAGTAATATTACTGAAATCAGTGAGCCTTGATGAAGGGTTATTCATGTCAAGAAGGGTTGTAGGAGTATATACCAAGACTAGAAGGTGGCTAGAATTGACCCTAGCATCTTCCGTAGACTGTGGACGAAAACAGTTATGCTCTGTTTTTCTTACTGAATAAGGGAAATATTTTACAATTCATTTTTTGTTTTTAACAGGTAGAATAAGGAAACATTTCATGTAGCCTGATATGTGGCCCCCCTGGAGAGCCATTTTTACATCTTATAAATGAAATGGCATCCCATAATTTCCATATGCTTTGATTTGCTAAAGTTGTGTTTTTTCGGGTCAAGTTGAGGACTTCAACCATGGAGTTCTGGAAATAAAGTTTACTCTTTTGTCTCCTTGAAGCTTTAAAGTATCACTTACTGCAGGTTGATTATTCATTGATTCCTTCAAGTTTTCAGATCGCACTCCACCTTCAGACAGAATGGTTTGGACAAATTTTAATTTAGATAACTTATTAAAAACTTTAAAATGTGGCTTCTTTCAAAGGAATATTAAGCATAACTGAGTGTTAGATGGAATCAGGCCAGTGGTGTCTTTAAAAT